TTTGTCTAAGGCTGCTAGTTGTTTATGCAAATTTGGAGTTTAGATAGTAAGGTCTTAATAAGTCTCCAAGTTTCAGTATGATATAGTAAAACTGACTCTACAATGGTGTTAAATAGTCAAAGTTACTTTGGATGGCAAGATTTCTGTTTCTACAGATGGGCTTTAGAGTTCAAAGGCATGTTTGGCTTTCGCTATTCTCTCTTTAATGTCTTTGGTCCACCTGTTGTACTTACAATGCAGCCAAGATATGTGAAATATCCAACCTTTTCTATGGTTGTTTGCAGTGTTGTAGCCGTGTTGGTCCCAGGATATTAGAAGGTGGGTGAGGTAATATCTTTTACTGGACCAACATCTGTTGGTGAAAGAGACAAGCTTTTAAGCTAAGCAGTGCTCTTCTTCAAGTCTGGGAAAGGTACTCAGAATGGTGCAGCTAAATACAAGGTGGAACAGATTGTTTAGCATAAGTAGTTATCACACTTTCTAAGGGACCTTTCAAGGTGAAGTGGCTCATTAGCACCTCTGCAGTCATAGGTCAAAAAAGGGAGGCTAGTGGGTTACAGATTATTGTGATAAGCCATAAATCCATTGTCATTATTAAGACCATGATTTGTAGGGCATGGCTACACTTGCGAGTTAGAGCGCATTAAAGCAGACCCGGGCACTCTAACTCACGACGCGTCCACACTGGCAAGGCACGTAGAGCACCCGGACTCCACGGCTGGAGCGCGCTTGGTAATCTACCTCAATGAGAAGTATAACGCTTGCTGTACCCCAGCCGGAGTGCCGCAGCGCCAGTGTGGATGCCCTAGTCTATTAATGCGCTCTGATTAGCCTCCAGAAGTGTCCCACGATGCCTGTTCTAGCCACTCTGGTCATCACTTTGAACTCTACTGCCCTGCCCTCAGGTGACTCACCATCAGACCTGCCCTTTAAATTCTCTGGGAATTTTGAAAATCCCCTTCCTGTTTGCTCAGCAAGGCATGGAGTGGTCTCAGCGAATCTTTCCAGGTGACCATGCCTCCAGGCACCAGGCGATCCCCAGTATGGAGCAGTGGTGAGGTGCTGGACCTCATCAGTGTTTGGGAGGAGGAAGCTGTTCAGTCCCAGCTGCACTCCAGCCATTGGAATTATGATACCTTCAGTCAGATAACAAGGGACATGATGGAAAGGGGCCATGACCAGGACGCACTACAGTGCAGGGTTAAAGTGAAGGAGCTGTGGAATGCCTACCACAAAGCCCGCAAGGCAAACCACTACTCCGGTGCTGCCCCTGTGACCTGCCGTTTCTACAAAGAGCTGGACACAATACTTGGGGGCGACCCCACATCCACTCCGAGGACCACCATGGACACTTCAGAGACCAGTTCAACAAGTCAGGAGGAGGAAAGCGGGAGCAAGGGTGCTGAGGAGGAGGGAGACAGCCTGGCATCCCTAGATGCATGCAGCCAGGAGCTATTCTCAAGCCAAGAGGAAGGTAGCCAGTCGCAGCAGACAGTGCTTGGGGAAGGACACACACCAGAGGAGGTGCCAGTAAGTGGCTTTTATTTTGGGAAGTAAATTGTTCAGTGCGGGCTCTTGGAGCAAGGAGGGTTAGGGCTGCATGCATGCCTAGATGCGGAATAGGGCGTTGATGTGCTCTCACATCGTGGTAATCGGCCTCAGTGATCTCTTCAAAGGTCTCATGTAGAAGCTGGGCAATGCGTTTGCGCAGGTTCCTTGTCAGAGCTACTGTGCTCCTTGTCCCAGTCAGGCTAACATGCCCGCGCCACTGGGTCTGGGGGGGACCATTGCTGCACACAGGCAAGCTGCATATGGGCCAGGGTGGAAGCCGCATGGTAGTAGAAGACTCTCCCTTGCTTTCCAGGTCACCCTCAGCAGCAAGATATCTTCCAGGACGAACTCCTGTGGAAAATGTGGGGACAGTGTTCAGTATAGGGGGCCCCTGCAGCTGTTAGCTCTCCCCAAGGCACAGAAGTCCAGAGGACAGTATGGCTGTGAAACAATCAGTCCCCCTTGCCCCTGTGCTTACTCACCATTTTGGGGCTCCTGTGGGTTATGTGCGTTGGCTTTGAGACGGGCAAACTAGCTCAGCCATGAGCCCCAGCAGGGCGGGATGGGACGTGGCCCCATCTGCTCCGCGGCCACAGGAAACGCCAAGCGGCCGAGAACAGGGCCCTTGTACCCCCGCCGCCCGGCCCGGCTGCGGGGATCGGGGGCAAAGCCAGAGCCCGGGGGGGCGTTAACGCTGCCCCACTTCACCCTGTCTCCCGACGCTGCCTGGGGCAGGGGAGCGGGCTCCTGCTCCGGGGCTACCGAGCCCCGCTTCCCCCGCGCACTTGGTGGAAGATGGGAGGCGGCGCAGAGCAGCTTCTCCTGCCCCCTTAGCCCCGCCACAGCCCCACGTGGCCGCGGGCAGGGAGCGGGGCCCCGCGCAGCTCTTACCCAGCTAGAGAAGACGGGGCCGGGACTGCACCCGGCAGCGCCCCGAGCCCGCCCCGCTCTTAAAGGGACAGTCCCCGGGGGGCGATCTGCAGCCCAGTGTGGAGCGTCCTGGGGACCGGCCCCTCCCGGCTAGTCCAGGCGGCTGCTCGCGGCTTGAGGAAGCGGGAAACAGGCAGCTTTGCTTGGCCACACGTGCAGACACGCTGGTGCACCGTGCATGGACCTGTTGGCTCACCCCCTCCTAAAGCAGCACCCACACGGGGGTTTATTTATATTTGGGAGGGGGGTACCACTGGAGTTACACTTCCAAACCAAACCGATTTAGCCAGCAATGAGTTTGCATCCTCCTCCTCCTCCTTTCTGCCAGTGATTAGACTGAAGTGTAAGGTCCCAGAACCTGGGCTCCAGTCCCAGCGTGAACAGCTACACTGCAATTTACAGCCTGAGTCAGCTAACATGGACCAACAGGCATTTTATTATTGCCTGTGTAGACATACTCCAATTGCAGTAGCAGGGAGAGGGTGCTGAGGCAACCCCATGTGTAACTCTCTTACATTCCCACTTTTCCTGTACTTCAGCTTCACTCTGTACTGTAGCACATTCAGTTATGCCTGTTCAGAAAGCATTAATGGAATGCAGCTGTTACAATTTGCAATCAGCAAAGAGTGAGTGGTGTACAGTACAATTACTTAGTAAACAAATATTAGCACACACAAAAACATTGTAAATAATATTTGGAATACTCACGCATAATTTTTAAACAAAAGCTGCTAGGTAGTAAGTCTACCAGGCCTTATACAGGGCATGTCTACACTTAAAATGTTGCATTTGTATTGCTTTAATGAAGATTCTGTACACAGGGGGAGAGAGCACTGTCCACACAGAGGAGAAAAGGGTTAGGTTGGTTGCTCAGAGGTGTGGATTTTTCACACCCCTGAGTGACATAGCTATCCCAATATAGGTCTGTAGTGTAGATCAGATCACAAACTTCCCCCACTTTGTTGCTGTTACATGTATTTAAATGCATGGTTCCAACATAAGTTAAAGTTCTCAACTTTAAAACACACATCTCCTATGAACTTCGTTCAGAGATAATTTCTCAGTCTCTATAGTCACCTGCATGCTTCTGAGCTTGAGAAAAAACAGCAACATCTGTGTTTTTTACCAAACACTTAAGAGGCAAACAAAATTCTTGTACTCAGGGCTGGCACAACCCATTAGGTGACCTAGGCGGTCGCCTAAGGTACTAACATTTGGGGGGCGGCAACCACAGCGGCCGGATCTTCGGATGCCCCGGTCGTCGTCGGTATTTCGGGGGCGGGACCTTCCACCGCCTCTGTCGGGGGCGGTATTTCGGGGGCGGGACCTTCCACCGCCTAGGGCGGCAAAAAAGCTGGCGGCGCTCCTGCTCGTACTCCATATAGTGTGCATGCGTTCTCCACACTTCTCTCTTTCTTTAGGCCACAAACAAACAAAAATCAAATGCTGCAGTATAAATAGGCTTGATAGGACTTGATTTTTATTGGTAAAT